AGAAGAGGATGAAGAAGAAGAAGAAGAAGAAGAAGAGGGGGAGGAAGAAGAAGAGGAGGAGGAGGAGGAGGAGGAGGAGGAGGAGGAGGAGGAGGAGAAGGAGGAGGAGGAGAAGGAGGAGGAGGAGGAGGTGGCCCTACCCGGGGGCACGATGGTCGCCAGCTTGCGATGCGCGTCGACGAGCGGAGGGGCAACCCGAATTCGCGTTCGAATTCGAACGGGGGACCGGTCTGCCCTTTCCCGGCAGGCCGCCCGCCCGACCCCGACCCCGTCCCCGAAACCCCCCCCGACGGTCTCCAGACCCTACAAGGGCGGTACCTCCCCCCAAACACCCCCCACCTATGGCCCCCAGACCCTACCGGCCCGGTACCGCCCGCAGAACGAACACGTTCGCAGGCCGAAGAAACCCGTTCGTGCGAACGTGTTCGGTTCCTGTTCGGGCGTTCGCCCGAACGTGTTCGGACGTTCGGGAAACCTCCGAATACGTTCGCTGTGCTACGCAGCTTCGTACTTGCCGGACACTGGGGAACTTTTGAAATTAACAGTGACGTTCAAGAATATGAGAGTTTATACACGAGCCTGGGGATTGTTGTACGGGTGTTCTACGTGGCGCACGTCTGCTGTTCGACGCACGTTCTTGGATGGCGTCCGGACTTACGAACACAAGAACAAGGGTTCTTCCACACACCCGACGACTACAGAAAAATTGTTTGCTATGCTGCAAAATTATTTCCGCTTAAACACGGAAAGCATATCGAACAGCGATGAATTTCATCTCTCAAACATTTTGTTAGGCAAGGACGTTTACGACTTCTTCTTAAGAGAATACGATTCCTAATTTTTTTATTCAAAGATTCTTTTTGTTAAACATTTCGTGAAGATTTGGAGGGAATAGTGTCCGAAAGTTGTGATTCCCTCGTTGAAGAGATTTTCAGTGTGCGCTCAATGCCTGTCGTTCAACGCAGGCCGTGCGAATGCAGACAACCGCATCGAGAGAGGTAAGGCACTACAAATCTGGTACAAGCTGGTACGATAGTGGTGTGTATAGTACTATAAACCTGTTACTAGACGAAAATTTTCTTTGTCTGTGTTATTCCAAGCTTCTCTGCAACCGTTGTGCTGTTATTCTAAAGAGGCTTCTGTTCACCTGTTTACAAAGTCGGTGCGTCGTCCTGACAATTGGTCATTGCTGGAGTTGAAAAACAACCCAAACGGCTAAGTTAGATTTCTTTTTGTAATTTTATAAATCGTCCGAGTTGAAACTAGTTCTCAAGTTCTACAAATTCGTTTCTTGGATTGGAATTGAGTCGTTGCAACAGGCTAAAGTAAAAGGAAAAAACATMTGGACGGCTGAGTCGGAATATCTTTATAKTTCTATAAATTCGTTTTAYGKAGTTTGAAGTYGTTTTAGACTTCAACAAATTCGTTTATCTAAAACGTTGCAATAGGCTAAAGTAAAAGGAAAAAACATCTGGACGACTGAGTCGGAATACTTTTGTAGTTCTATAAATTCGTTTATCTKAATTAGAGAGGTTCAGAATCTAGAAATTCRTTTTCTTGGGTTTGAATTTATTKGTTAGTTCTACAAATTTGTTTTTCGTCAATTACCACAGAGATGGCGGTGTGTTGGACTTGAGTTGTTGCAAYACGCTTGAGTTAAAAAATRTTTTGTTTGAGGCTCTACATTATTTATAATCCTATAATTTCCTTCCCAACCGACACATGCTTTATTTTTGACTGGAAGCATTAATTCAGGTCTCCGTGACTCTTTCACGTGTTTGCTGACCTT